CACCTCAATCAACTTTTTATTGTTACAGAATACCAGCCCTCATCTTTGCGACACTTCACACTTCATGTTTAGACTGAAATGGGTCAGCATGTACTTCTTCAGGATTCCAATACAGACTGAAGACTGGCTGAGACATGCTGCCTCGTGGACCAACAACTACTGGATTCTTGGCTTTTCTGTCAGGCACTGTTAGACCACAGACTATAAGCCATGCTAATAACACACACACACATGCACACACACATGCACACACACATACACACACACATGCAACATATAATTATATTATATATTACATATTACATTATATATTTATTATATATTGTATAATAAATCATGTATTATGTTTTATAAAGTATATCATATCATATATTTATCATATATTGTATATCATATATACCATATATCATATATCAATCATATATCATATTACATATTATATTACATAGTACATACTATATACTATGTACTATATATTATATATTTATTATATAACATAAATATATATATTATATTGTGTGTTGTATATTATGTTATATGTTATATATTCATTATCAGTTCTATTTCTCTAAAGAACACAGGCATTTAGGGGGAGACATGAGGATGAATATGATCAAAATATAGCATATAAGATTCTTAAATGAAAACCTACTATTGTAGAAGCTTCCTAAAATGTATACATATATAAAAGGATTTAAATGAGTTACATTTCATGGGGGAGACAATACCCCAAAATATGACAATCTCCCATTATATGCTACCAACTAAAACCCCAGTAACAGGAGTGGATTACACCTTTCACGTCATGGGCCAAAAAGATCCCATCAGGCCCTCCCCCAGCTCCACAACTTGATAGTATGATCTGATTGCTGAACACACTACCATATCATACAACATGGAGAAATTTACCCGGAATTAATCTGGAAGCTTCACCCCTCCTGGCTGGTGCTCCTAGTCCTGCACGGTGCAGTACATGCTATTGGGGAAAAAAGAATTCATTTGTGGTGGCACGCATGTCAAGGGTGTAACCCACCACCCTTTTTAATGATTGGATTTAAGGCCCACTCTATGAGATGGAATCCATACTGACACTACCAAAGTGACCAAGAATAGGTCATGGTCTCCGGAGGAAATCTTACTTGCCTTAGTCTGCTAAATGAACATGGCGGTAAAGTGATTCCCCATGACATATGGGTCAATGCTTCCCCCAACCCTCGTCAAAGAAGCTTCTTGATGAAGATGGTAATTAGCACAGAGATCCACATCTGACTAATTGCAGAGAATGAAAGACATTGGAGTGGTCAGCCCTGAGTGAGGGGTCTTTATCACATCTCTCCCCTCAGAGCTGAGGGGTCGTCGTGGAGGGGAGGCAGGAAGACTGTAAGAGTCGGAGTAGCGAAACCACATTTTTTTCAGACAAAACATGGCAGATGTGTGTATGAACTCAGTGCATGCACAGGACCTGTACAAGCACAAGACAGACAGAATCCTAGCACAAAAGCAGGGAAGTGGACACAAAGTTCCACCCTAGCCAAGAAGCTATTCCCAAATAATAGCTGCTATGAAAGAGGGAAATGACTGTTTTCTACAATGGAGTGATACTGAGTCTATTACCACATTCCAGGGCAGGACCCATGCTCAGAAGCAGTTGGCAAGATAAATCGAACTCCATGGTTTTTAGTGGGGTTTTCTTTTTTTTTTGTTCTTTCAGAGAGAGAAAGAACAAGAAATTGTGTGAGTCAGGAAGAGGGGGAGGATACCAGGTGAATGCCATAGCGTAAATCTTCGGTAGAACCACAGAAGAATATGTCCTCCAAACTAAGGAAAGACGTGACCTTTCAGTTACAAGAGGCATAGAGAACACCAAAAGATAGGACCGAAAGGAAAGTCCCTGTGTCGTATTACACTTAAAAACTAAATATATAGATATAGAGAAGGTATAGAAAGCATCTAGAAAAAAGATACATGTCATACATAAAGGAAACCCATCAGTAATGACAGCTGACTTTGCTATGGAAACTTTAAAAGCTAGATCTTGGGGCCATGTACCCCAAGTCTTAGAAGACTACGGATGCCAACCCAACCTGCTATACCCAGCAGGACTACCTGTCATCGTTGATGCAAAATGGAAAACTGGTCATGATATAAGTCAGCTAAAAGAACTCATCCCCACCAAACCAGGCCTACAGTGGACATTCAGTGTGATCATTTAGATTGAAGAGAGGAATGGGCATAACAAAGAGGGCATGAAAAGAAAGCAAATGACCAAAGTGGGGCAGAAGGCAGCAGCCAGTACAAACCTCTTCATAATAACTGTGAATGCCCTCGACTAGCCAACCAGAAGATCGAGTTAGTGGAATGGATTGAAAAACAAGAGCCGTCTGTTTGTTGCCTCCAAGACACTCATCTTATCTTCCAGGAGAGGCACCGCCATCAAGTGAAAGGACGGAAAAGGTATTCCAACGAACGGGACCATGAGACAAGCAGGCGTCACTATCCTAATAACCTGACGAGATAGACTTCGAGCCAAAACCAACCAGAAAAGTCAAAGGACCCTTCGTTCTGATCAAGAGAACAATCAACCACGAAGACATCACAGTCCTAAGGATATATGTACCAAACATGGTACACCCAATTTCATTGAAGAGATATTGACCTTCAAGACAAAGATTAACCCTGACAGAATAATAGTGGTTGTCTTCAGTACCCCACTTCCTCCAACGGACAGGTCATTCCGATAAAAACTAAACAGAAGCATAGGAGTTAAATGATATCATAAATCAAATGGCCCTGACCGATATCTACAGAATATTTCACCTAAATACCACAGAACACACATTTTTCATAAGACCCCATCCTGCCCTGAAAATCTGGCAGTTGAGGGCTGCAAGAAGACTGAAAGTCATAGTCTTCAGTGGTGTAGCCACTGGTAAGCTACCTGTGCTCTGGTTTCACTGCCTTGCCCAGGGGATTGGCCCTGGTTAACAGGTCACAAAGCAAAGACTCAGCCACAAAAACTAAGAGAAGCAGGATTAGCCTCTCTCTCAGCAGTTTTGGGAGAAACCGACCCTACCTGGTGCCTTCATTTCAAACATTAGATCTCTGTAACTGTGAGAAAATGCATTTTCATTGCTTTTTTTTTTCCTGTTTTTTGAATGTTTTATAGATTGGGATAATTTAAATCTCATAAGGACAACCAAAAGCTTTAAAACACCCATCAACTTTGAATTACATAAATGCAGAAATGTCACTTACTATATAGGTAATGGATTTTTCACCGGAGTTGCTCAAGTGATCAAACCCACCCATTATTATTTGTTTATTCACTTTACATCCTGCCTACACTCCCCTCTCTCCTCTCCCCCCCCACCAGTCCCCTCCTCACACACACCCACTCGACCTCCCAGAGAAGGTAAGGCTCCCCATGGGTTTTAAGTCCTCAGTGTCGTGGTTACATGTTATCACATCACTAGGAAAATACTTCACAGCACAATGGACTACTACACAGTAATACAAAAGAATAAACTATTGACATGCACAGTAACATGAGTAAATATAAAAAAAAAACCAATCCACAAAAGGTACATATTATATAACATTATTCATTTAATATGCTACAATTGTATTTTATAATGACAAAAAGCGTACAGTAATTGTTTCAAGATGGAAAAATAATAAAGGCAAATCAGGTGAGTTAATAATTAAAACCAGAGGGCAGGGGAAATGGCTCAGCGGTTGAGAGCACTGACTGATCAGGCATGCGCACACACTTTGAGGTTAGCGAGTTAACACTGATGCACTTAAAACCGAAATGAATAAATCATTTTTAAAAAGTAATTTTAAAGAGGCACAAGGAAACTGTGTGTCATGGGTTGGCTTTTGACCTGAGCTGTCAGGTGTGCCATCTCATGGGACAAGAGGGAATGGGTGAGCGGGATTAGAATTTTGTGTGGAGTGGAAGTTTTAGTTGTGCAGCATGTCTGTCCGTAAAGGAATAGAAGTCTGTATTGCGTGAGAAGATGGGCAACACTGAGGTATAAATAAGGAGGGCCACGGTGAAGAAAATGGCCCTGCACTCTAGTCTCTTCTGGCCACTTATCCTAAAAGCAGCTCACCCTAGCAGGAAAGTGGTGTTCAGACAGGCCTGTGGCGGCCCGTGGCGGCCCGTGGCGGCCTGTGGCGGCCTCCCCAGTAAGACTAGGAGGTCTAAAACCAACTCAGCCTTCTCCACAAATCACGACGGAAACTTTTCTATCGGGGCGGGGTGGGGGTGCAGGTCCTGTCATTCTGTCACAGGTTAAAGGATTGTGAATCCACTTCAGATTCCAGATGGAGCATCTCACACTCTGCTGAGGCCTCGCTGAGTCTCTCCCGCTATCACCTAGGCAGATTCGGGGCCCTGGAATGATGTTCTACCCCAGACCATCTTCCCGAACCCATGCCAGAGTTCTCAGTTTGCTGGGAACGCTCCACACTGACCCAGTGCTTCTCAAACGCTGCACCTCCTGAGAGTCTAGACACAGAAGCAGCCAGACCTTGGTCCTAATGCTGCTTAGAGTTTTAGACACATTAGCTTCCACGTTAACAGTCATTATCATTCGCCAGTTTTTCCGGCAGTTTTTTTTTTCCAAGTCAGAAACTTTTGAAATTCATAACAAAAATGTTTACCCTTACAGAAATCTTCAAGTCAGGTTTCTCAGGCCCTCTTTTGAAACTCAGAACAGAAGACGGATTCTGCTTCTTCGGGGCTCGCTCTAAAGATCAATGGGTGGTTTATAAAATTAATAGGGGAAAATAAAGGGGGCAAGGCCTCCAGAAATTAACTGTAAAATTTCATATAGTCTCTTCATTTCACCGATCTCATGTGGAGGTGACAGGGCCTGGGGCGAACGAAGAGAGCTGATCTCTGCCCCCATGTCTATGATGTCATAGCTGAGGTCACAAAGTGTTGGGAGGGAAGGGGTAGCCGTGGGAGAAGGTTGTGATATGGGGTTTAAAGGGGAGAAAGCTTAGGGGAAGGGTTAAAGCATGGTCAGGTGAGTTTCTGGGCAAGCAGCCTGGGTTCTGACGCTGTGGAAGGTGAGGAAGGGTGTCAGCGGGAAGAGCAGAGTGGATCCCCACCGAAGGCAGCCTTGTTCCTCATCCGGATCTCTGCTTTGGCCTTGCAGACCCAAGCATATTGACTATGGGTTTTCCTTCCTTCCCCCTTTTCAAAGCAACTGACAGTAAGAGCTGATTGACCTCCACCTGAGCTTCCACCCTTAGCAGATGACTGATTCTGAGTTCACCGTATGCCCCTTTCTGTACTTGCCTAAGAGCCTGTCTCAGTTCAAGGAGGCTCTGGGCAGCCCACTTCCTACATTGTCAAATATGATTTCCTCAGGTTATGAAGGAGATCTCTATGTACACATACCTCCCCTTCACACACACACACATACACACATACATGCACACATACACACATACATACACACACACACTGACCCACTCAAAACAAGGACATTTATTGAAGACATAAGCCATGACATAGGCTCCTGTGCAGAGAACAAGCATGTTCTTACCATATGTCTAAGGGTCCCCTCTTATATATTTCAGGGCCTGAAACTGTGTCCATCTTCAGCTCCTGGGGCCTGGCCATACCAAAATCAAAGGCAAGAATGACATCTGAGCAGCAAAGAAGGTAGATTGCACCACCCACACCCTGAAAGGCCCTTTGCTTACATTTATGGGGAGGAGAGGCAGATGCCCTGCTCCCATCTCCGTCTGGCTGTACCTAGGGTGGGGTAAACGGGGTCTTGTGTTCCCCTATCTCCTTGACAGAAGGGACGACAGTCTTTCCATTCTAGCCAAGAAGATGGGCTTGCTCTGCCGTTCCTCCATAGGTGGGCTTGCTCTGCCGTTCCTCCGTAGGTGGGCTTGCTCTGCCATTCCTCCGTAGGTTGGCTGGCCACTTCATCCTTCAAACACTGATCATCCCAGAGACAGTGTTCTCTGAGCCCTTTGTGTCCTTTCTAGTGTGAATCAAAGCCAGACATTCAAAACCATGCGACCGGATTGGTGGTTATGAGGCTCTAGCTGCTCTTCCAGAGGACCTGGGTTCAAATCCTAGCACCTACATGCTAATTCACGACTGTCTATAACTCCAGAATCTGACACCTTCACATAGATATACATGAAAGCAAAACTCCAATATGCATTAAATAAAAACAATTTTTTTAAAAAACTTGCTTCCCTTGGACTAGGATAGAAAAAGACAAAACAAAAAAGACATTTCTGTTAAATAGAAGAAACTAAGTGGGAAACAACGTTCGCTAAAATGAAAAGGAAAGAATAAAGTTTGCTGCGAGATCTTACAAATCAGGGAAGCTTCAGAAAGGAGCTGGAACTTGGCTTAAGTCCTTGAAGCATGTGACAGATGTTCTGAAATAAGATGTTGTGTGATTCAGGTCAGAGAGAGAGGATCTTTTCTGGGCTTGCAATAGCCTGTCCTCTAGGTGAACTCTAGGTGGTTAAATTTGCCTGAGGCCTGAGATTGAACGAGGAACTGAGAGGCTGAACCCCTGCAAATAGGAAGAGGAGTCTTCCACAGAGCTGCTGACCCCAAGACGATAATGCCAGGCCTCTTATGGTTTTCTATGAATATGCACATAAGCCAAGTCTTGGGCTCTCTGCTGAAAAAAAGGGGTTGTTGTTGTTGTTGTTGTTTTGTTGACAATAGAAGTGTAAGGACACTGAGCAGGTAACACAAATCACAATAATGTTTGGGATGAGCCTAACCACTGCAAAGGCCTTCCTATAGTCTCCAAACCCCCGAACTCCAGTCATCCCCTTGTTTTAGAGATGAGGAGACTGACTTATCTAGGCCAAGAGACTTGACAAAAGACTAGAATTAAGGCCCTAAAATTCATTCTTCCAACTGTAATCAGCTTCTCTAAAACTCAACTACAAAGTAAGCAGGTTTCAGTAACTAACACATTTACAGCAACCAAAATACTATGGTGGGATCAGAAAGACCTGAGTTGAAGTCCAAGCCTTTCCCTGTGACCAAGCAGGTATCACAGCCTGGTCTGGTGTGTATCAGAGCAGAGCAGACCTTTCACGCATTCACACTGCAGACACACAGGATGCCTGCAGACAGAACTTGGGGGACACACATACAGAGAGAGAGAGAAAGAGAGAGAGAGAGAGAGAGAGAGAGAGAGAGAGAGAGAGAGAGAGGAAGAAGAGGAGGAGGAGGAGGAAGAAGAGGAGGAGGAGGAGGAGGAAGAGGAGGAGGAGGAGGAGGAGGAGGGAGGGAGCTAACTTGTTCCACTGTCCTTACCAAGTATGATTAGTCACCATCTCATTTTAAAAGAATTTGGATTAAATATCAACACGGGCTGGAAAAATGGATCAGTGCTTAAGAGCATGTATTGTTCTTGCAAGGACCCAAGTTCAATTCCCAGCTTCTGTGTCAATCAGCTCACAGTCACTGTAACTCCAGTTCCAGGGTGATCTGATGCCCTCTGGCCTCTGAGGGCACCCACACTCATGCATGTACACACAATCACACACACACACACACACACATCTACATATAACAAAAAATAAAATGCCTCTATAAGTAAAGCCCCTGATGAGTCCTAGTTTTGTTCTCTATACCCCAGGAACAGATGTCTAGAACCCCCCGGAAACATGAAGGATATTTTAGGATAAGGGCAGTGGCTTGAACTGGAAAGAGGAACAGCTGTGCTCAGATTCTATGGAGAAATCACATGAGTCACCTGTAGGATTCCTGGGACAATGTCTACCCCGTTCTATCCTGAACGCATGCTCATTAAGGGTCTTGTCTTAACTAGAGATCTTCTGGGGCTCAACATCCTTTGGGGATCCTTTTCTGCCCCCAGTGTCCTCAGACTTCTTGAGATTACAAGCATTTATGCTTTCCCTTGGAAAAGCTACTTTCTGAAGACAGGGACAGTTCAAGCAGGACCCCAGACAGAGACAACAGGGTCCTCAGGTTCTCAATTGTGTTTTCCCTTCATCCCCTTCCCCTCTCTTTTCAAATCCTATCCAAGGGATTCTATTGAGAGGAGCCTGAAACATGTCTAAGAGGCAATGGCCTCTTCCAGGTCATTGTCAATGCCTTGGTCTCCTTTGGGGTGTCACTCCTACACAGTCCACACGTGGCCCGACGCTCTGAGTGGAATTTATTCGGGAACAATAGAATGGTAGATAGCGGATTGCCCAAGTCTCATCCATCCTGACCTCTCTTCCATCAGGTATGACCTACCCCATCCTCAGGCCCTCCCTCCCGGATGACGCTGGCATTCTAGTCGTACTTACGAATAAGATCTTATTGGGCCATAGATGTGTTACTGGTTATTCGCCTATAGCTCATTTCATTTTGACACTACACACCTGACTTAAAGAGGTCCCTGAACTGTACCACCCTTTCTCTGGTATTGTCTTTCCTAATAAAATGACATTTGAGGAAAACATAAGACCTTCAGTTCTGCTCCCCAGGTTGAGCAAAATCTTCCCAGTTCTTCCTCAGCAGGCCACCCCAACTCCATCAGAAGCCGTAAAGGAAAACTAGAAGGCACTTGGAGACACAAAGACAGCAGTTTTATAATTGCATGCACTTCCTCCAAGGGGACCTAGACAGGTCAAAGACTAGAGCGGGGAGTGACTCTGACAGGAAGGAGAATGGTAGGTACCACCTTCAGCACTGCTGACCCGCAGAGTTCTCAAAGTTCTGGATAATAGCCTAGAGGAGACAGAGTTGTGTCCTGGGTGACGGGGTGGGGTGTGTGTATGAGATGTAGGATAGTGACTATTTCTAAGGTTTAAGAATTCTCACTGGTACACTGGAATTGAGAGAAAACTTTGGGTCGTCTTTCTCATCTGGTTTCTTTATTTTCAGCACATCCATTGAACAGACAATAAAGCCACAGGTGAGTAAGTCGGCCACACGTGTTGGTTTCTTGGGGGCTCCCAGGGCGTGGTGAGAGAAGAGAGAAGCTGTGTGTCAAATGTTATATCTTTGGGCACATAGGCCTTGTGGTTTGGGTCTTTGAGAGGCTTGTAGGTCACCTAATAGCAAGGCCAGATCACAGGTCCAATGCCATTTCTGTACCTGATGGTTTCAGGTCAAGCTATCAGATGTTGATAAGGCAGGTAAGCATACACTGGCTGTTGTAAGGCTCTGAGCTACCTGGGAGGGGAAATAGAATATCTTTTAGAATTTCACCTCAGTTCCAAGAAATATCTCTTAACTCACTGCTTATGTGTTATGTGGGGCCATATTCTTGGAAAGTTGGGATAATGTTGCCAAGATTTGTCTGTTGTTTCAACAGGAAAGAGATTTAATAATCACTGAAACTCTGTGGGATCAGGTAAGTACACGGGTTTCCTCTGACAGCATGGTGGCATAGGGGAAAGTTGAGGAAAAGAGCAAATTTCTGTTCCTTTATGCAGATTAATGATGAAGAGTCACTCTGGACCAGCCTGTCCTTTTCTCACTTTCTGAGCCCCAAATCTTCCAAAGTCCCCCACCCCATACCTGTACATCTCTGTGCAGCTTCCAACACCCACCATTCTTGCCCAGTCAAGAGTCCCGTTTGTGTTGTTTGGTTTCACAAGCTGTTGAACTCCTCAGTGCTAAGGGACCACCACAGACTTGCAAATGCAGGTTTGGCCTCTCCCGTGGGCTCAGTGTGATGCAGCTGTGCTCCGATCCCCCACAGTAAACGTTGATATGACTGCATTCCCAAGCCAGCTTACATGATTTACATGTTATTCACTACCTCCATCTACAAGGGTTTAAATAAAAACTCAGTTTGGAGAACACTGCAGGTGAGTCCCAGTTCCGTGTTTTCTCCCTGCAACAGCCCTGTAACAAGGAGATGGAACCCCACAGAGAGTAATCTCCAAGATACAGACTGAACAGGGACCTTTTGTCCCCAGGACCAAGGATAGAAAACACTCCAGTTAGGAAAATCCTGTGTAACCACATGTTCAAGTACCACTGCGAGGATCCTGATGGAACCAATGTGGTTTTAATTTCCCCTGAAGGCTAAAAATGGTAACACTGAACTGTTTAGACACCTTGTTCCTTCTTTTGAGGATTATCCATTCAGCTTATTATTCAATTGCTGGCTGGAAGATTCCGGAGGGTGTGATGTTTAAGCTTTGCAGTTCTTTCTATAGACATCAGCCCCCTCTGTTGTGTAGTTGGCAGAGACTTCTCCTTATTCTGTAGCCGCCTCTTCGCCTTGGAGACTCTTTCCCTTGCTGTGCAGACTTTGATTTATGTAACACCCTTTGTCAGTTCTCGCAGCGATTTTCTGTGCTGCTGGAGTCCCTTCATGGAGTCTCTGCCTTTAGCTATATAATTATCGCTTTATTTATTTATTATTTTAAGTCAGGCAAGCACGCCGGGCTATTCTCAAGCCAATAACTTCTCATTAGTGATGCTCAAAGCCAGGGGAATGTGGGATGACACTTCTAAAGTCCTGGAAGAAAATAACTGCCAACCCAGATCACTGCATACAGCAATGCCATCTTTTTTAAATTAACAGACAAATAAAACCAGATCAAGACTCTTTTTGTATTCATATTCCACTCAATTTATACTTATACTTTTTAAAATATTTTTTTGGTCCTTTTGAGATAGGATCTCTCTATTGAGCAGCTCTGGATGTCTTGGAACTCTCTATGTAGACCAGGCTGGCCTCGAACTCACAGAAATTCACCTGCCTCAGCCTCCCGAATGCTAGGATTGAAGGCGTGTGCCACCACTACCAGTTTATATAGAAGAATTTAATTGGAGTTATCTTACACAGGGGATATTCTCCCAGAGGTCATAGATTATCAGATAAAAACCAAAGGTCAGGTGTGGGATAACACCTCCCAAGTTGTCGATCAGAGGTGTCCAAGGAGCCCCCCAAAACAGTAAGAACTATTGCCGTTGCTCTGGATTGCCTCCCCCCACCCCCAGAACCTGATAGTAAAATCCCATTGCTGAAGACCACATTCTTTGGTCATATGACACAGGGATATCAAATTGGTGCTCACCAGGAAACTTCCTGACTGGCTAGCTTTCATAATATTAGGAAGTGCTGTACAGGCTGCTAGGGAGAAAGGCATCAACAGTCTTAGCCAACTGTGAACCCTGTAAGCTACAATGTAGCAAGGTATGCCTGTGAGTGCAGTAGCGGCATGTCCTTGGCATCTCTCCACCTGAGTGTACCCAGCCTGGTGCTGTGTTTACATGCCATGCCCAGCCTCTCTCCAGCTTGATACTTGTGGTGGTTTAAATGAGAACGGCCTGAAGCAGCTACCTTCTACACTGATGCCAATACATTAGGAATGGCAGGCTGTACATCAGACAAAATGAGCAAAGTAGCTCAAAGCCCATGTACTTCAGTTCAAAAATCAGAGCCTTTTGCAGTTCTTACAGTATTATTAGATTTTTCTAAGTCTCTTAATAAAATTACTGACTCTCAATGTGCAGAAAGAATTGTTCTGCATATAGAAACTACTGGATTTATTCTGCATAATTCAGGATTAAACTTGGTCATTTATACAACTGCAACAGGAAATCTTAAATAGAAACTATCCATGATATGTGTGTGTGTGTGTGTGTGTGTGTGTGTGTCTATGTGTATGTATATGTATATATGTATGTGTATGTGTATATGTATATATAATCACCCATATTAGGTCATACAGGGTTTCCAGGTCCATTTGCACAAGAAAATGAAGACCATTGACCAATTATTAATAGGAAATGTGTTAGAAGCCTCAAAGTTTCATGAAAAACAGCTTGTTAACAGAAAAGGTTTAAAGAAAAAAATGTCTATCACTTGGCAAGAAGCCAAGGAAATCATAAGAAAATGTCCTCCTTGTTCTCCGTATAACCAAACTCCATTATGTGCCGGAAATAACCCTAGGGGCACCAAAAGAAATGAAATCTGGCAGATGGATGTGTTCATCTTACAAAATTTGGAAAACTAACGTTTGTACACTATACCATCAATACATATTCAGGGTTTCAATGGGCAACTGCTTTGAGTCCTGAGAAGGCTCATTGTGTAATTACACATTTATTAGAAGTTATGGCTATGGTGGGGATACCTGCACAAATCAAGATGGACAGTGCCCCTGCTTATGACTCCAGTAAGATGAGGCAGTGCTTTACATATTACAATATAAAGCACATTACGGGCATACCACACAAAGCTACAGGACAACCAGTAGTAGAAAGATCTATTTGCACCTTTAAGGAAATGCTTATAAAACAAAGAGGAAGAATAAAGACCCCCAGGGACAGACTAAACAGTGCTCTGTTAACTTTAAATTTTCTGAATGTTAATGAGAAAGGAAGAACAGCAGCTGAGAGACACTGGGTTATAGAAAAAAATGTATAAATAAATCAGCCTATATACTATAGAGATGTGTGAACATCTCTATAGCCAGTGAAAGCTGTGTGTTGGAGACACAGATTTGCTTATATTTCCACAGAAATGAAACACTGTGGATACCATCAAAACAGATAAACCTGAAACCTCGGCCACTGACCCGAAAAGTGCTGATTTCACTGAAAGTCTGTGTTTATAATTTCCTGCTAAACCCAGCATAATTACTGGCTTAAAGCAGAAAGGGGGAAATATAGTGAGAATTTTGTTCTAGAATTTTGGTTTCTTTAAAAAAAAACACAGAAATATTATAAGACTATGTTTTTGGTTTAATCCCAGGTGTGGGATATGAAACTACTTTGCATATGACTGCCTTGACTATGATTTACCTCCTGCTCCAGCAGAGGCGTGGCTTTGCCAGCTGCATGCAGATGGTTTCTGTGATTGGTTGTGTGATGTTTGGAATTCTGGAAACTTTTCAAAGAGTATATAAATGCTAGGGTCCTGAGAGGAGAGGTAGGTGTCTGTGGGTCATTCATGGTTAGGGGAGGGTGGTGGTTGTGATTTGTTTGTAGTTGTGCTCAAAGAAGAAACAAAAAAAAATAGACTCAGATCTCTCTCTCTCTCTCCCCCGCCCCCTTTCTATCTTTCTCTCCTTTCTAGTGATAGGGGATGACGGGGGTGAGGGATAAAGGGAGGGATAAAGAAGAACCACAAAGTATCAAAGAGCAAAGAAGAAACAAGAAGAGAGAAATTATATTCAAGAATCTCTCTCTCTCTCTCTCTCTCTCTCTCTCTCTCTCTCTCTCTCTCTTTCATCTAGTGATAGGGGGTGAAACTGGAGGGATAAAGGGTGGAAAAAAGAAACACCCACAGAGTAGTAAAAAGACAAGCTACAGTGGCCCACATAGGCTCATCCATGTGAATACTTGGTCTTTAGTTGGTGGAACTGTTTGGGAAGGATTAGGGGGTGTGGCCTTGTTGGAGGAGGTGTGTCACTGGGAAGCAGGCTTTGAGGTTTCAAAAATCCATACTATTCCTCTCTCTCCTCTCCTCTCCTCTCTTCTCCTCTCTTCTCCTCTCCTCTCCTCTCCTCTCCTCTCCTCTCCTCTCCTCTCCTCTCCTCTCCTCTCCCTCCCCCTGTCTCCTTTCTCCTCTCCCTTCCCCTGTCTCCTTTCTCCTCTCCCTTCCCCTGTCTCCTTTCTCCTCTCCCTTTCTCTGCCTGTACTCTTAGATCAAGATGGAAGTTCTTAGCTACTGCTCCAAAGCCATCCCTGCCTGCTGCCAGGCATGGTCATGGGCTCTAATCCTCTGAAACTTTAAGCCCCAATAATAATACAGAAATTATTTCTTCTAGAAGTTGCCTTGGTCATGGTGTCTTATCATCCAATAGAAAAATAAGTAAGCCATTGTTCGTAGCATGTTCGTGGGCATGGGGGTGTGGGATACAGCACCTTCCTGGTGCCCGCCGCTGACCTCATGCAGGGGTATGAGAATGGTCCCTAAAGCCTCGTATATTTGAATGTTTGGATCTCAGTTTCATTAACATCCTCTTTACAACCCAGGTATTTTTAAATTAATAAAATTCAATCACCACATGCAAAAAATGGTAGCCTAGAGATCTATGTACAGTTGAAGTCATTGCAGGTTATTGCTAGAAAGCCCGTCATTTGACACTCACACTGCACACAGTGGAACAATTGGGTTATAATATAATATAAACTGAGAGGTTTAGGTGACTTAATTTTCCATAAAGCTCCCTCTAATAAGTGATAGTTTTTAATGCTAATCTTTTGGCATGCTTTTCTCCCTGTCAGGTGCTATTGGCCTTTAAAGGAATACAAAAAGAGGTGAGGTTACCTTTGATTCTCTAAATTCCCTGGATTTTAACATTGCTTTCCACCACCCCCCTCCCCATGCCCTGCTGAGATGTGAACTCTTTCCAAGGTTTTCATTTCAAAGAATATGACTGACTTGTCATCCCAAGCAACCAAGGCAAGAAGATGCCTAACACCCCCCTCTGAGAAACTATAGTAAAATACTGGAGGAAAGATGAATTTATCAGAAATTCCTGAGCTGGTGATATGAAATGTTGAACAGAGATTACATTGGCGACACCCCTCCAGGTAGCATGACACCTTGGGAGGTGGCATGCCTATTAACTGCAAGAAGTGCAAATTTTAGCCCAGGTCTAAACTTGTGTTCTCTATGCAGAGTTCATTTTCTTTTCTAAACACTGATCAAATGTTTAAACATTATACTGAAGCAAGCACCATACTGCTGGCCTTTCTCCAGAGCCTAACTTACTCAAAATGCTGAGGCGGCTCAGACCTACTAAGTCCCCTGCTGTGCGTCCCTTTCCTTCCTCCCCTCTTCTTTTTCCCTTTCTTTTCCTATGCTTATTCCTAACCCTCTTCTTCCTGTGTGTGTGTGTGTTTATGCATAAAATATATGCAATTACCTATTAGTAGACTGTTGATATAAACTTTAATCAGAAGAAAACACATTATTTTGAGTATCTATCATATCATAAAACAAATCTCATAAAACTGAGAACAAACAAACTTCCCTACACATCTCTTTTGTTCCTCTGAAGAGAAGACATAATTTCATTAAAATTAGACTCTAAACATAATATGAGCCCCCTGTAGTCTTAGGAATAACCATCCTTGCCTCCTAGTTGGAGAGGAATGATGGATGAGGGGACTGAGAAGGGACTACTAAAATCAAACTTCCTCTAAGTCACCATCAAGTTGTTCCAGTCCCTAGAACAGTGTCCCGTTCTGTGGTCCCAGTAGCCACAGCATTGTCTTGCTGCAGTGTCTGGAACTTCCTCTCTTGAAAAATCACAGCAGGCTTTACTTCTGGCTGAGGTAAAAATGGGCTCTCGATGGAGATCAGATATTTCACAATCTCACCAAGAGTTGCGTTTCGTTTTATTTTGTTTTGACTCTGGGGTCAAGACACCTTCTCCCTACCTAGAATTTCAGTCTCCCGAGACCACAGTCTCCTGCAGACAGAACCCTTTTTTACAGAAGTGAGACTTGTGTGTGTTGGCTTGTAGCTTCTCCGGGTGTATATGAAGTTAACAGTCCATCTGCTCCCCCATTCCTTGCAGAAGACCTCTCTGGTGCTTTTTCTTGCAGCTTCTTCCCTGATAGATCCTCGTGTTGATTTGGACAAGATAACCCTAGCCATAGTATAAGGGAAATGTTTTGAACGCAAATACTAAGATAAATTAAGCAAGGTGCTAGGGGGATGTTTCCACGGTTAAGAACAGTCATTGCTCTCCTCAAGAGTTTGGACCATCCAAGGCAGTTAACAAAATTGTTAACTCCAGTTCCAGGGATACTACGCCCTCTTCTGGCCTCCACAGGCACTGTGGAACACACCAATACATGTTGGCAAAACACTCATACACATAAAATAAAAATAAAAAAAATTTTTTTAGAAAGAAGTCAAGCAATAGAGAGTATGAACAGTGGGAACTGGGACATTCCTTATTTCTTATTAGACAAAACTAAGACCCTCACTAGGACAACCGTCTGGGTGCCTTGTATGAGCTCAGTAGGACCAAAAGGGACCACCAGCAGCTGTGTACTCTACAGTAAGTAGAAAGGACTTGCAAAAGGTCCTTTCCACGTCTACAGAGAGTCACTGGAGACTCCGTGAGGGAAGCAAAGGGAGAGGAGAAAAGTCGAAGCAGAAAAGCTGAAATAAAATAGGTTAAGCTCATCCCTATGTGCCACTGGGTTGTTAAGTAATGGGCTGTGTCTCCCATCTCCACATGCTTTATGTGTTCAGTGTACATTGGCCACATGGTGTGTGGAAGGCATTATCTTAATCAGTCAGCTTTGAGAGGTACATATACCACATAAACTCTGCTGCTAGAGAAGGTGGAACTCCGTTCCCACGTGTTTGTGTTCCCCAAGTACACATCTGACATCCTCTACATCTGACCGATCTGTGGCCGGCACACTGAACATCCGGGGGTACCAGCCTTCTAAACTCTCTGACCGCTGAACCCTCATTCTCTTTCAGCTTCAGGAAGATGCTCGGATTCGAGGTAAACCAAGATGCCAAGGCCTGGATCTGGGAATGAGGGATGGAATTTGAGGGTAAGGAGTTTGTCCCAGAGTCTCATCTGAAGATCTGCTGTCTGGACCACAGATGGACCCTGGCTTCCTTCCAGTCAGGCTGAGCCTGGCTTTCCGTGAAGCTACTTTTCCATGCAGCCTGGTCACCTGCTGTCTGTTGTCACAGAGTGTGACACTTGTCATAGACGAGTGGTTTATAAACAACAGAAATGTATTCCTCATGGTTCTGGAAGTTGGAAAGCTCCCAGAACAATGTAACGTCTAATGGGGCCCAGGCAGGTCTCAGCTGCCTCTCCTCTACTGACTAGAACCAGGCTACTTCCTGGATCATGGCTCTCTCTTCAATTCTTTTTGGGCTGGGGAAGCAGGGTGGGAATGGAATAGACACTGTCTTTTATAAGGACACTAATCTCACTAATCTGAGATTCTGGCCTTATGATCTAACCACTTTCCAAAGCCCTACTTCCAAAAACCATCATGATGGGGAGGAGCTACATCCTTCCGTCTGTAGTCCTTAGACAGTGACAGAAGGATCTTGAGACAGAAGAAATGACTCTTGAGAGACTGCGAACTCTTTTTTTTTTTTTACATATAACAGCAAACACCTTTATTACACGAGCTATGAAGGATGGTTATTTGCCTTTCCGGGCTTTGATCTTCCGCAGATAGAACTCCAGCTCCTTGCCTTCGAGCACATAGCCATCTGCTCTGCCACACTGGCCTGGTCTTGAGGCAATACAGGCGAGAAGCTTGCCCTGCTGGAACTGTTCCTCCAGAAGACTGCTGATTTTGGCATTCTTTTTCCTTTCGTCATATTTCTTTTGAATTTTCTTTGATCGTTTTTTGTTTAAAATCTCTTCCTCCTCGGGAGTCAGTTTGGCCCCCTTCTTGCGGCCCAGGGGCAGTGCATAGTGGGACTCATACCACTGCCGGTACGGTGTGCTGTCAATGAGCACAATGCAGTTCTTCACCAGGGTCTTGGTGCGGACAAGCTCATTATTGGATGCATTGTAGACAACATCAATGATCCTTGTTTTTCGAGTACAACACTCAGAGCCCCAGGAAAAGTTCCCCACATCCAATCTCAGAGCACGGTACTTCTTATTGCCCCCTCGAACTCGGACTGTGTGTATGCGGCGAGGGCCAATCTTAGTGTTGGCTGCAGGCCGTCCCAGCTCATACTTCCGCTTCTTGTGGTAGGGTTTTCTCTTACCCCCGGTCTTGCGGCGCTTGTGCCAGTTGTCCCGAGAGATGCCCATCGCTCGGCGCTGGCTGGAAAGAGGAGACTGCGAACTCTTAGCGCTCAGTCAGACATAGTTCTTTCCAGTAGAGGAGAGGCACTACACAGAGAAGAAAGACTTTCTGGTTCTGTGTGAAGGGCTTAGTAGGAAAGACAGTGAAGAGGTTAGTGTGGAATTAGGAACCAAGTTACAATTATTTTTAAAATTTCACTCTACGTGTGTGTGTGTGTGTGTGTGTGTGTGTGTGTGTGTCCTTCAGAGGCCACAAGAGGGCATCAGATCTTCTAGAACTGGAGTTAGAGATGGCTGTGGGCCACCCACAGTGGGTACTGGGATCTCTGATCTTCTGAAAGAGCAGCAAAGAGTTATCACTCCAGCCCAAATTTTGGTTCCCAAAATATACATGCATCTGGGGTCATCAACTAAGCCACACTTGAGGTTCCTTCCTCTACTCACCCAAGAAGAGAACCCATCAGTTGTGGTTCATTCAATGTCTGTCCGTATACCAATCATCCAGGTCTCTTGCAAAGGTACAGAATCATATGCAGGAGTCCAAGGGTGGGCTTGAATTCTGAGGATCCAGACCTGTCTCTCCTGGGATACCAGAGCTGCTGATCTGTCTGTCGGGATAAAATGAGATTAATTCAGTGACCTCCATATGCCATGAAAGGGTTGGTAGACAAAGGGGCAATAGCCTGAAGATTTGGGGTAGGAGGTCTGGCCACAAAATTGAACTCATAGAAGTTCAAATCCTGGGAATATTTAGATATATCCCAGATAAGATTCCTTCTGATCTTTCTTCATTCCTGAGCCATCATGCCCACCCCAGAGCAAGGAACTATGGTCTGGCAGAATCACTAAGGAATGTTTCCTTAGATAGTGACCTCTAAGGTCAAAGGTCAAAGGGCAATACTTACCCCTACTTGAAGGATCTTCTCTAAGCAAACTTGATCTCCCAGAGGTCATTGTGAGGGAATTGCTCTAAGAATATACCCATGCTGTGAAAAGGTGGACTCAGGATTTAACCGCTGCTACTGCTTCCAATTTCCTTAAATAGAAAAGGTGATCAATTTTGAGTGATGAGTATTTATTTACCCATTCTTTTCAAAGCTGAGACTGTAGCTTAATGGTTAAGAGTTTTTTACCTAGCATGCACAAATCCCTGGGTTCAATATTTAGCATCATTGAAGCCTATAATTTAAGTGCTCAGGAGGTAGAGGCAGGAAGATCAAGAGTCCACTGCCATCCTAGGATACATCATAGCCTGTCCCAAATAATATAAAATCCAAGGACTGGGGAGAATTCTGTCAGTAAAATACTTGTCATGCAAATATGAGGATCTGGGTTCAATCCCCAGAACCCACAGTGTGCAGCTGCATGTGCTTGTAACCTCGCTGATGGAGAAGCGAAGAGGGGTAGATCTTTGAGGCTTGCTGGCCTCGCCTTACTTGATGAATTCTAAGCCAGTAAGGGATCCTGTCTCAAAAAAGCAGAGTAGATAGATAGTGCCTGAGGTTGACTTCTGGTCTAACACACACACACACACGCACACACACACACACACACCACTTCTTTCCGATAGTCAAAACAAGTACTATAAGAAGTAAGAAACCAAAACTGACTCCTCCTGTGGCACTGTGGGAAACTGAGGCAGTTGGCTGACCAGCACTGGCTGAGCAGATAGTCCGAGTGCCGCAGCTATCCCATGCCGCATCCTACACTCCTCTGACAGGTCTATGTAACCATGAGTCTGCTCCTCCCACTCTAGCTGGCTTGACCCTCAGCTAGAAATGTGAACTTGGTAACTGGAGAGACATTTCCCGATCCCTGTAACAATTTCCTTCCTCAGGCATGAGCAACCGTTCTGTGGGAGTCACACCATCTGTACCCCCCAGGACTGGGTAAGTGTCCCTATTCTAATGGCCTGCAAAAGGGATAACATCTACCTGGATATGGGTGTGGTGGCCAGCTATGTAGCTAGCTATGAGCCTGCCTTCAGGAGCCTAGAGTTGTAACCCATGCTCTCCCTTGATGTCAACTGAAGGTGAAAAACAAAGATAAGGCTTCTCTCTCCATCCAGCACCCCCATCAGAAATCCCTCCGGATCTCGCCAGAACAGATTTTGAGAAATTCTCCTCATTAAAATGAGGAGTGGGCTTGAATTCTAAGGTTCTCTGTGTCTCTCATATGCAGCCAAAGCTGATGATAAAGACACGGGAAAAGACAGTGAGTCAGAAAGAAAAGCCATGAAGAACAACGGGGAATCAAGGGCTTCCTTAGCAGGTTATAAAGAAAATAATGGACGCTTCAGAGTCCTGTGTGTCAACACTGGACACATTTCCACAGAACAGACTGGGGGAAAGATCTACCCACCATGCTAGGGACTTAATCTAAACATCAAGAGTGACTTCCAACCATGACAGCCGGAAGGGTTTTAGGGAGTAGTGAAGAGAGACTCTTCACTAGAGAGAGAGCAGGCTTCATGTGAATTTAGAGACTTGAAAACAGTATATCTATCTGACATGTTTCAGGCACGATCCTGCCTAAACCAAGATCTGGAAAAGGTGAGTCCCCCAGAAGCATGTCTGAACATAATTTGTTCCTCTCAGAGCTCTGGCCTCATGAAATAAAGCCAGTCCAACTACCATTTATTCCCTGGGGCTCTGTGCCAGTGCTGAGCCAGGCAAGCGCTCTACCACTGAGCTATATCCTAGGCTCTCTTTTGGGATTGTTCATTTTGAGACATGGTCTCAAAAAGTTGCCCAGGATGGTCTTAAACTCATACAGTAGCCTGGGCAGGCCTTGAACTTGGGATCCTCCTGTCTCATCCTTTTATATGTCTGGAGTGTCAGGTCCTCCTCACAACCCAGACCAGCAAAAGCATAACTTTTAACCAGACTGGTAATTGTGCTTTAACTCAACCGGTCCTAGACGTGTAAGAAACACTGATAAGCAATGTTAGTACATCACATGTCTTTGCTATATGGAGCAATTTTGATTGGCCAAAACTCCTCTAACTCTGTTATCTGATCTCACCGTTCCTCTGAAGCAAGCCAGAGGCACTTTCCTGATGAACATGTGGCTCTGCTGAGTTACCACTCTTTTTTTTAAATTTATTATTTACTTATTTACTTTATGTATACGGATACACTGTAGCTCTCTTCAGACACACCAGAAGAGGGCATCAGATCCCATGACAGATGGTTGTGAGCCTCCATGTGGTTGCTGGAAATTGAACTCAGGACCTCTGGAAGAGCAGTCAGTGCTCTTAACTGTTGAGCCATCTCTCCAGCCCGAGTTATCACTCTTAATCCTAACACCCAACAAGGATTTTTTCATCGTGGAATTAGAACCTGAGAGTCAATGATGCCTGTTTCGGCTGGTGTCAAGGTCCAAAGACAGTAGAGAATGTGATAGAGGCACAGAGAGTTGCGTCTCCCTCCTTTATGCTCTACCAGTCCTCTTGTTTGATACAGAAGCGTCAAGCCTCCAGATCTCTCTACAGTCCCAAATAAGGATCACAGCTCAAATTCTGGAGAGCAGTCATCAGAAGCCCATTCCTAGACCCCCAAGGATGTAACCCCGTGACCAGCAAGCCTTCTACCCTAGACTCTAAACTTTGTCATCAAGGAGTGTCTCCTGTGTTTCTTCCAGGTATCTACTCAAATCCCCTTCCACCTCCGCTGTCAACCCTCCCTGACTATCCTGCTATGTATAGCTGGAACCCAGACTTCCTAGGTACTCTTGGTACAACAAGGCAGAGGACTATCTTGGCAAGCAGGTTTAGTCCAGAGCAAAGGAATGAGGTTGGAGAAGCAGACAGATGAGGGCAAGGCCAGCCCCGTGGTCTTGTGATCTCTGTGTTCAAGACAAAGAGCTAAAAAGAATGTGCCAGGCAGAGAAGGCTCTGTATGGGAAAGAGTGTTCGAGAATCAGAAAAATTGGAGGTAAAGATACAGGATGGTGAAAAGGTTCAAACACTAACAACACGGAGCCCATAGTTTCTTTACAGAAGGTATTTTAGAAATTCTCATTATTCGGGGGACTTAACTCAGTATCAAGAGGGAAACACTAGGTAGACATGCATAATGGGCTCCATTTTACCTTTATGAAATTTGTTCTTTGACAATTTCACACAGCATTTAACAACAACCCTCTCTAGTCTTCCTCCTGCCCCCTTATGATCTGTCCCTCCCTAAAGTCCCCCTTCCCACATTCACATCCTTTTGTCTTAGTTGTTGCTGTCTCATTGAGATCCAGTGAGTTTAACCAGAGTCATCTGTGTGAGCACGGGTTTGGAATTATCTCTTCTGTGGGTACTGAAGAAAATGACTGCCTCTCCCCCAGAATCCGTCAGTCGTCAGTAGTTTAGTAGGAAGAGGTAGGCCCCATTCTCCCCCAATCCATGATTGACAGTTGGTAGGACCAGTCTTGTGTAAGTTCACTGCAGGCAGCCATAACTGCCATGAAGTCATAGCTATATTGGCTATGTCAAATGGACCCATAAGATGGTGCTTCCCAGGCCTTCCCCCTCTTGCAGCCCCTACATTCCTCCGTTTCCTTCTCTTCCATGTTCTCTAAGCCTCAGTAGGGTGTGGTATAAATGTCATGCCTAGGTTGAGCACTCAACTGTCACACACTCTTTGAGCATCCTGAAAGGCCATGTGTCTTTACATTCACCACCATGCCCTGCAGAGACACTTCTCTGATTAAAGGTGAGGGTAGTGTTTATCTATGGGTAAAAACATAAAGATCTAAAGGCACTCAGCTGCCTTCAGATTCTTACCCACGATACAGTTGTATGTGACCTCCCACAGACACTAGTTAACCAGCAAGCCATTTCCTCAGCCCTCTCAACAGTCTTTACTTTACCTCTGGTGCATCTGACTCCTAACCCCATATGCAGAAGACATCCTCGGATGCTTGACTTCTCCACAGCCTAGTCTAGGGCTTACAGAGAATCTCCCTCAAGATACAGCCTGAGTTATGAGTGATGGAAAAAAAAATGGTTTCATCCACCCGAGTCTTAGTAGAGTGACTGTAGATTTTCTTAAATGTCCCCTTTCAAATACTTTTATCCTGTTTCCCCAATAATACAAATATACGAAGATTCTAATAACCCAAAAATAAGATTGCAGCTTTCAAAAAGAACTAGTCAAAAAGCTTTTGTTATCTCTCAGAAACCCGCTTTTGATTCTAATACTGAAACAGAAATCGCTCCCTTTGGTGCAGGGCCTGCTCAGGCACAGCCTGTAGTAAGAACTTGCTCCCCTTGGGTGTCTGGTTAGAAGCCTGAAGCTGGTCACATCACCGGGAGCACACCTTCCATGGCACTGAGCAGTAAATTATCTTCCAGGACCCGGCTCCCTTCCATGGCACTGAGCAGTAAATTATCTTCCAGGACCCGGCTCCCTTCCATGGCACTGAGCAGTAAATTATCTTCCAGGACCCGGCTCAGTTGCCTGGTACTCAGAGGCTATGACATCATCGTTGCCAGAATCTTCCAGCAGCGATTGTGAACTTGGACATCAGCTGAGAGCCAGACACATCCTGTCAAGCGAAGAATCCAGCAGATAAACAACGGAGGAAATAAATGTAAAACAAAGTTCTGCTTTGTCCTCCCTGGGTTGTGGGAGGTGAAGACAGAGCCCGTAAGTCACGGCTCTGCACTGGGAGAAGACCCGAGACATGGCTTGTAAGCGCACTCCTTGTCTCTTATTCATCTTTGTGGGGTTCAGTGACCTCTTGTGCAAAGTAAATGGGCATCAGGAGTAAAGGATGAAGGAAGCCTTCATGTCTAACATGCCATGACCTGAATAGTCTCAAGGTACCGTTCCAACATAGTCACCCCACCCATGGGAGGGCCACCTAGTCCAACAGAATTCTGTATACTATTTAGAATTTTGTAAATATAGATATATATGTCATATGTCAGGAAAGACAGCTTTTATTTCTTCTCTAAACAGACTCTGAACAAATAAGCACAGCATATTAAATAACTCTGAGGCATAGCATGTAATCCCAGGAGTAAGAATTTGTCACACAGCCAGTACAACAATAACTCACTAGAGCAATATAGTAAGTTCTTAAATTGTTCGCTTCCTTATATACTGACCTGGTATTAGTTTAAGTGCCGATTTTAACTCATTGATTAAAATAGAAGTAATAAGGAAAGTTGCACTGCAGTCAAGGGTAGTTACGGGATTTTGCTGAAAACAAACACCGGATGTAGAAATTCTGTTTTCATATTAGTTTTAACAGTATTTAAGATATGATCTGATCTTATTTCTAAAAGCAGAAAGTCAAAGGACAACCGAAGAAGAAGGAGGAGGAGGAGGAAGAAGAGGAGGAGGAGGAGAAGAGAAGGAAGGAGTGGGTAGAGGGGAGAAAAAGACTGTCGTGGGGTGATGTGATAAAAGCACACGATATGCATATACAAACGCCGTAATAAACCTTGTTGTCCAGTGAGTCCAGACGCAGTAATGATTTGAAAGGGTTGTCTGCCTCAGAGGCCTATACAAAACTAGTCCTTCTCCTCAGTAAGAGAGCATCAGTCAGTGTTTCTGTTGCATTTAAAAATATAAAATATTCCTAAAAATAGAATCAAACGACCAAGAAAAAAAAAAAGGAAGATAAAAACTACAATAGCCTATATACCTGATTCATTTTGGAGTTAGACTCTGGTTTGTTTAAGAGAGAGCAAAATAGAGGGTTTCTCTAGAGACCTGAAATCTAAAAATACAGGAAAAAAGAAAACATAATAGCTAAAAAGCAAGCAGATTGGGAGCAAAAAGAAAAGAAGCTGAGAAACCTGTCAGTGAATACAATACGCAATGATGAAAATCTTTTAGAAAACAATGAAGCCCAACATGTTTAAAGGCTCAGAATAGACTGTGAGACAGAAAAATGCAATTTCATATAAAAAAGTAAACAGGAGCTGAGATAGATAGACAGACATATGGACAGATAGGTAATAGAGGAGAGAAAGAAAGATAGATAATAGACAATAGACAGATAGATGATAGATAGAGAGACAGACGGATAATAGATACACAGACAGAAAATAGATAGACAGATGATAGATAGACAGATGATAGATAGATAGATAGATAGATAGATAGATAGATAGATAGATAGATAGATAGATACAAAATAAGGGGCCTGTCTGGTGATACTGAGGTTATAGGAAATGACTACTGCCTTTAGGGCTAGGGAAACCAGACTGAAGCTAGATACCTGACACTTAAAAGATGGTTGTCTCTCTCTCTCTCTCTCTCTCTCTCTCTCTCTCTCTCTCTCTCTCTCTCTGTCTCTGTGTGTGTGTGTGTGTGGTGTGTACTGGTGGCCACAGTAGCTAGAAGAAGGTGCCAGACAATGCTGACACTGGAGTTACAGAAAGTTGTGAGCCACCTAGTGTGGGTGCTGTGTACTGAACTCCCATCCTCTAAGAAGGCTGCTGAGCTAGCTGTCTCTCTAGGTCTGGACATTCAGATATCAATCTGTGCAGTTACCCTGAAAGTTTAGAGGTCTGTGGAGCTGGAAAGGGACTCTTTCTTGCAGCTGTTATTTCTGAGAGACTAGTGATGGCCATGCTGAGTAGCATGCCCAGGTTGAGAGTTGTACACAGGAAGCTTGGTGGTGACAACTGAAGTAATTACGCTACATATCTGACACATGAGAGAACCAGGGGCGAGGAGAGCAAACTGGATCATGGGCATTCGTTTGTAGTTTACACTGGGAAGTTAAGTTGTCAGAGGCCTGCCTTGAAGGAGTCACCTCAACACCGAAAATCTGTTTCCCATCAAACAACAAGTTGGTCTTTTTAAAACTAATGAAAGTAAATGCAAATTATAACTTTACACTTTAAATAGGAAAACATAGATCAAATGTTTCGAGGGGCATGCAAAGAGGACACTCTGGCCTCCATCAGTCACTAGTGAACTGGTTAGGCGAGACACTTCTCCCCCTTCCTAGGTGTCCATTCATTGCATTAGCTTCCAGGAGGTGTCACAATGGTTTTCCTGGGACATATGGCCAGTGACTACATGGGAATAAAGGACAAGCTATTTTGGCTTAAAAAAAAAAAAAAAACATTTGCATGCTGAGAAAAAAACATACCAATAACTTTACGGAATGTCTAACCACATTAACTGCAGTAAGAACTGGAGTGGCAGCACAGCACGAATGTTATGGGAGTAAGTGGTTGCTTCCTAATTGGATGTAAAGCACACTACACATAAAGAAGCACACACTGATACTACAGATCTGGTCATGAACCCAAAGTTAGGGAGCTGACAGGCCCCGGGGCTGAAACTATGGCTGCTATCTTGGTAAATGGACTAGTATCCATATCTCTCCGGCTATAGATTCGTGCAGCTCTCAGACCTCATCAGAAAAGCTCCTTGGTGCATTTAACATGATGGTTAACACAAGCTCACAGCTGGTTAAAGGGCAGAGGATAAGTAGTCCCGGAGTCCTAAGCCATAAACGATACATAGGCTATCACACTCCTCCCCGAGGCTAAAGCAACATCTCTGAAGAGGGGACAGAAAGATTGTAAGAGACAGAGGAAAGGGTAGGGTGCAGTGAAGAAAGAGAGTTTTCTGGACATGATGAGATCATCACACGGACAAACTCTCTGCAGCTGTGGCTGCCTGCACGAGACCTTCACAAGATCAAACCCGGCAACGTTCCAGCATGGGAGGGAGGTGGGCTCACATGCCCCGCCCATAACTGAGGATCTATGAACAGTGATGGCTTCTGGGAAAAGCAGAGTCCGTTTCCTTAAGGGTGTGTGTGGATCCTGACGGTTGACCACGCGCCCAGGTGTGGATGGACCAGGCACATTCGGACGTCACAAACGGATGGGTTATTTATTTAAAGGACACAAAACTGGGGGAATCAGGGTTCAGGGATAGACCTAGGAGGAGTTTTGAGGAAGTAGGGTTGAAAATGATCAAAGCACATTGTATGAAATTTTCAAAGAGTCAATAAAATATTTTAAAGCTTCCTGCTTAGTTCTGCCTCTCTTCCGGCCTCTAAGTGTGCATTCTCCCTGGGCATCCAGTCTGCAGCATGCACAGCCTTCTGGGGCTTCCCTGACCTCTGCAGCAGTTGATTAAGCAAAGAAGAATGAGTGGACAGCCCATGGCTGATGCCATCGAACAGCCAATGCCCGTGGGCACTGCCCTGACACACTACAGCAAAGCTGCACCTGGCAATGAAGAGAACCCCAGCTTCTTAAATGTGGTAGACGGCTTCTTCAGCCATGGTGCCAGTATCATGGAAGACAAATTAGCAGAAGACATCAAGACCCAGGAGAGCAAGGAGCAGAAGTGACTCAAAATATATGGCATCTTGCAGGTCATCAAGCCCTACAACCATGTGTCCCACCTCTCCTTCCCCATCTTCCTGTTAAAGGTTCCTCAGAGATTATTGTGGTCCAGCAGGTCCAGCACTCCCAGATATGTACATCCTATGAGGAGGGTATCTGGTATAGCAACGGGTGAGTATGAATGAAGTCAAAACCTTTGTGTCTCTGATGACATGTGAACGTGCTGTGTTTATTGCAGTTGTGAAAGATAAAGCTGGTAGTAAGATCAACCCCTAAAACTATTTGATGATAGATTGGAGAAGATCTTGAGGAAATTCACTAGCATGGAACTAGCAAAGACAGGCTTTATTGGTGTGGGGTTGATGTGCCTTCTCAGAAGGGCACAGGTGAAATATCTTGACACCTATGCCATCTCCACAGGGTACCTTGATATCAGTGCACATGGCTTTTACTGATAAACACCTCAATCAGGGTTGTAGTCAGGGATGTATCTCTGCTATTGGCTGTAAGGTTTTCCATGAGATGAAAACTTCCTCGCCAGGCGGTGGTGGCGCACGCCTTCAATCCCAGCACTTGGGAGGCAGAGGCAGGCGGATTTCTGAGTTCGAGGCCAGCCTGGTCTACAGAGTGAGTTCCAGGACAGTCAGGGCTACACAGAGAAACCCTGCTAAGGCTATTGCTACAACAAGATATTGCCACATTTCCTATGCATTGCCTCTAACAATACACACAATGAACACAAATAATAAGTTGCTAATTACCAAAGAAATAAGCATAGCAATAGACACATCATTCATTCATGGATTATACAACCTGAGTCCTTTTGATGGTGTCAGGTTACAGGTTTGAGTCCACGAAGGCGGAGTCAGGCGGCTTCCAGATAGCTGAATTGCTAATTTGACCTCGAAGGGTGCTTGAACAGGAAGCTGGGGGCACTGTCTTGGCTTGAAGTCAGAGCTCAACCACGACCACGAGGTGTAGGACTCTCGGTTAACTCTTTGATGACTGGGTGCTGAGGAGGCTCTGTCTGGAGGATCACGTTAGCCAGTCATGGCTACAAGTGTGATGAAGTGCTCCGGACGGGCTCCTCTTTTATGTTGGATTCAGCGTTTACTGGTGACGTGCACGGCAGATAACCACTCGTGTCTGGTTGTCGCTGGGCTCTGACCATTTCCAGACATGTCTTTACAAATTCCAGATATGTCTTACAAGTTTCCGATTACAAAATGGAGTCGATCCTGTTTAAGGGCCTGCTCCTTACAAGAACTAAC